TTCCGGCCCGTTCTCCGCCAGGCTCACGAGCCCCAGCCCCTGAAGCCGTGTACGCACCCGCCGGGATCGGGGTGCCCAGAGATTTTGCCCACCCTCACCTTGTACCCTTCGGCTACACGTAAGAGTGACCTTTCGCCGGAGTGACCTTTGGTGCGGGCCCAAAGGGGTCCCCCGATCGCCGAGCGCGATGCGGTAGTAGCGTTTTGCGCGCTCGTGTTTGGTCCCCCCGCGGCCCCCAAAAAGCCGCGCACCAGAGGTCACTCTTACCCAGGGTCACTCTTGCGTGTAGTCGAACCCTCACGAATGCATCGACCCTCAATCGCCCATTCGTCGCCCATGGGGGCCAGGTGGCCCACCCCCAGGAGCGCGCGGACTCGCCGTCGGGGGCCTCGTCGCCGATCCATCAGCGACACATCGCCGATGTCAGGTGGACGTTGTCCCTCCGAGATAGTCCCCAAGTACCTGGGATCGCTCGGACGTGTGCACTTTTTCTCGGCGGGGCTTATTAACAAGGAGCATCCTGGATCATCCTGCGAAAACACCACGCACGGAACCGGAAAAAAACACGGGGAAAGGACCTCCGAGCGATGGCCAGCCTATCGTTCGCCTTCAGGGTCTCTTCGGTGGAAATCGTCAGGGCACCGCGACAGCGACACGACGAGCGTCCCGCTGCCCCCCTTCCCCAGGCCCCTTCGGCCCTCGCGGTACGATCCAGCTCGCAGGAGCACCACGCGCAGAGATTCGAAGAACAGACAACGGCAAAAGCATCACTTCTCGGAGGTCCGCTCGGGCCGGACGAAAGGGGGGGAAAGGGAGAGGGGGGTACGAAATCTGCTGCATGCAGCTGGTTTCGGCCCCGCCGCCGGGCCCATTCCTCGATACATGGGCGCCTCCCGGCGCCGGGAGGCGCTGGGAAAATCAGCTACGTGAGCTCATTCTCAACCCCCCCCTTTTCCTATCCCCCCCTCTTGCCTGGCCCGATCCGCGCGGACCTCTGGCATCGGTGTTGGTTCCCCCTGGCTGTGCCTCCGGCGCCGCCCCTGACGCGGAGCTGAAAGAGGCGTAGCACCCCGCAGATGCGGATAAGAGTGAGGGGGCGGTGGGGATGTCGGCAGTCTGCGAGACTCTGGAGAAGCCCGCCGCAGGTGCCAAAGTTCACAAATTATACAACGAGCCCGCCGCAGGCACCAACGTTTTCTTCAAACCAATGTGGATCGGTCGCGGGTGGGGCGCGGGTGGGTCGCGGGGTGGGTCGCGGGTGGGTCGCGTGTGGGTCGCGGGGTGTGTCGCGGGTGGGTCGCGGATGGGTCGCGGTTGGGTCGCGGGTGGGTCGCGGATGGGTCGCGGATGGGTCGCGGGTGGGTCGCGGGGTGGATCGCGGGTGGGTCGCAGGCTGGGTTGCGGATGTGTCGCGGGGTGGGTCGCGGGATGGGTCGCAGGGTTGGTCGCGGGGTGGATCGCGGGGTCGGTCGCGGGTGGGTCGCGGGGGGGACGACGACAATAAGCAACAACAACAATCATTTTACCCTCATGCGCGATGTTTCCACACGAAGCATGCGACCACCATGATAATCATCCACGTAATGGGGGACTCTTGTTCTATAGCGGGGTCCGTTATGCCCATTCCCAGATCTCCTGCCCAATGAGGTTTTGCAAACATTTCATCCGAGGAATTTCAACATATCCCGCCTCGAAAACACATGCCCGCGCCTTGCTGCGCCGATGCGAGATCGCCAGTGGAACCCCAGCGAAGGGTAAAGCACAATGAAGTATCGGACGACAGGATTGCCTTGGTGGGGATGGGGGCTGTCGGCGGTGAGGCAAGGACCTGGCCCTGAATAGAAAGGGAGGAAGTCTCGAGCAGGGCTGCTGTTGTTGATGGGAGTGGCGCCAATGCTGAAGAGAGTAGGGCGCTAGTTCAGCGTAAAACAAAATGAAGTCTCGAGCGGGAACGCTGGTTCTGTTGGGACGGCGGCTTTCGGCGGCGAGGAGGAACACCGCCTTGAGTAAGAGGCGACGAAGCATCGAACTGGAACCGCGGTTTTGTCGGGACGGGGGCTGTCGGCGGCGAGGAACAGCACCGTCCCGAGTAAAAAGGGAGAAAACCTTGAGCGGGAACGCTGTTCTTGCTGGGAGCGGCGCCAATTCCAAAGAGAGTAGGGCGCCAGTCTGGTGTAAAACGGCAGGAAGTCTCGGGCGGGAGCGCTGGTTTTGTCAGGGCGGCGGTTTTCGGCGGCGAGGAGCAACACCGCCTTGAGTAAGAAGGGCGGAAGTATCGAGCGGGAACCGTAGTTTTGTCGGGTCGGGGGTTGCCGGCGGCGAGGAACAGCACCGTCTCCAGGAAAAAGGGAGGAAGCCTCGAGCGGGAGCGTTGTTCTTGCTGGGAGCGGCGCCAATTCAAAAGAGAGTTGGGCGCCAGTCCAGCGTAAAACGGAAGGAAGTTCCGGGCTGGAGCGCTAGTTTTGTCGGGGCGGCGGTTTTCGGCGGCGAGCAGGAGCACCGCCATGAGTAAAAAAGGAGGAAGCTTTGAGCGGGAGCGTTGTTTTTGCTGGGGGAGGCGCCGATGAGCGAAAGACTAGCGCGCCAGTCCAAGGTAAAACGGGAGGATGTCTCGAGCGGGCAGCGCTGGTTGTGTTGGGACGGTGGCTTTCGGCGGCGAGCAAGAGCACCGGCCCTGAGCAAAAAAGGAGGAAGTCTCGAGCGGGAGCGTTGTTGTTGCTGGTGTTGTTGTTGTTGCTGTTGCTGTTGCTGTTGCTGTTGTTGTTGTTGTTGCTGTTGCTGTTGCTGTTGCTGTTGTTGTTGTTGTTGTTGTTGTGTTGTTGTTGTTGTTGTTGTTGTTGTTGTTGTTGGTGTTGGTGTTGTTGTTGTTGTTGTTGAATTCTCACTTCTGAAGAATAATTATTGTTGATCCCCCCCCACCGGTGCATACTGTTTTTTCTGAATCAAAGTGTGCCCCTCGACGCTCGCACCCTGCTTTTTATGATGGAAAGTCTTCCTGCTCAAACTGGCTCCCTGGCCCCCGGGTTACAACAACAACGGCTCCCGCTTGAGACTTCCTTGCAATTTAGCCAGGACCCCCGCTCCCGCCCGAGACTTCCTTGCATTTTATTCAGGAATCGCGCTCTCGCTTGGGACCTCCTTACAATTCATTAAGGAATCGCTTTCCCGGCGCTCTGGAGTCGCGCTCTCGCTGGAGACTTGCTTGCAACTTACTGAAGAATGGCCTTGCGTTGGAATTTCTTGCAATTTGCCCAAGCGCCGCGCTCCCGACACCCATGCACCCAGGAATCGCGCCCGTTGTGGCCCCATGTGCATGCCCTTCGTGGCCCCGCTGTCGCCATTTGTGTCCCCCTCACTGTCCTACGTGGCCCAGTTGCTACCCTCAGTGGCCCCATAGTTGCCTTCTGTGGCCCCGCATTATCTGCACTTCGTGGCCCCCGCTCGTTCGCGCTCTTCGTGGCCCCATACGCATTCCATTCGTGTCCCCGCTGTCGCCCTTCGTGGCCTACTTCGTGCCCTTCGTGGCCCTGCTGTCGTTCTCTCTCGCTTTCGCTCGTCGTCGCCGTCGTCGTCGTCGCCGTCGTCTTCGACGTCGTCGTCGTCGTCGTCGTCGTGGTCGGTCCCCTGTCCGTCCCTCTTGGGGTCGTGTCGACGGTCCGCGGCCGCCCCGCCGATCAGCGCTGCCGCTGGCCAGGCCGACGGTCCGCGGCCGCCCCGCCGCTTGCCGGGGGCCCGGCCTGCATGGAAGAAAGGTGTACCCCCCAAAAGGGTTGCGATCGAAGACGAAGAGGGCGGGTATCGAGGGTTTGGGAAATACGCGTTATTGGACACTCGAGCATATAAAGGCGAACGGTCTTAAAAATGATGATTGTTGTTGTTGTTGTTGTTGTTGTTGTTGTTGTTGTTGTTGTTGTTGTTGTTGTTGTTGTTTGGGGGCCAGTTTTGGCGGTCCCCCAAACCGCTCGAGGGTGAGCCTCATTCTCAATGAGCATGTCGCCGGCGCCTCGGCGAGAGCGCCAGAGCGCCTTTAAGGTGTCCAACAATCATAACTGTTTAGTAATTAGCTCCCAAAAACAACGCAACAAACAGAATCTTCACCACGGATTCTCACTTCAGCCAAGCACTCAGGGACAATGAATTACCGTTCGGCTCCCTCACTCGGATAATGTTTATGTTGGTTGTTCGTTCCTCTACAGACGATGCTGAGAGCTCTGGTCGCGCGTGGCCCAACCCCCCTTCCGCCGTGGGGAGGGGATTGGCCTACCTTCCCCCCCCGCCCTCACACATCCCCCCCCCTCACCCCCACCCTCACTCCATGTTGATGTATGCTCCCGCTCCGACACCTAGCTGGCCGATAGCGACCCCATCAACCCCATCCGGGTCTCTACAGCCCACTCATCAAAAAACTTCGGGGGGTCCCAAACGGGGTGGTGACCACACCGCGTAGTGAGTCGGTGGGGATCTGGGGTCACCGCACGGTTTGGGGACCCGGGTTGTTCTCCGAGGACGTCTCGGGCGGTTGAGGTATTTGAGGTCCCAAGACCGTGCGTGGACGGAGCGTGCGGTAAGGCATTGGGAGATTTCGAGGTCACCGCACGGTCTGTCACCGCGCCGTTTCGGGACTCCACAGCAAAGTTGCTTTCGGTGTAGACGTCTTCCGTCGTGGCGCTGCAATGCAAGTTGCGTGGCGGGGACGGGACTTCGGAGGGAGGAGAAGCGATACCAACACCACCAGGGGGCCCACCTCCAGCCAGGAGGTCCACGATGCCTCCCCGAGCCGGATGCTAGGGATGTCTCAAGCGAGAGGGGGGGACCACACCACCAGGGAGACTCCCCTTGCCTCCTCGCACCTCCTCGCCCTGCTGGTGTTGGTGTCGCCTTTCCTTGTTCCCAGGGTTTGGCGCGCAGAGCAGGCGCGAACGGGCGAAGTGTCGCTCCCGGCTCGGCGCCGCTGCCACTCTTCCTGAGCCTTGGTTTCCCGTTTGCGGCAGCGGGGTCGCGCGTGAGCGGGCGGAGTATCGCTCCCGCTGTGGAGACTTCGTCTGAATGTGTCGCAGAAGAAAGTACCGCGTAAAAATAAACTTTGGGCGCTCCGAGCGGATTTCTTGGATCTTGGCCTGGGCCCCCCTGGCGGCGCCTCTGGCGCCGTCCCTGGCTCGCTCCGCTCGCCAGGGAGGGGGCTCTAGCGCGGATCCAAGAAATGCGCGCGGAACGCCAAAAGTTTATGTTTATGTGGTTTTTCTTCTTCGAATATCGTTCACGCTGCTGAGGTTTCGTCTCAATGTGGCCCTCCTGCTTGTTCTGGGCGCGGCGTTGCGTCTCGCCATCCCCGTCAAAAACCAGTGCAGAGTGGTCGCGGGGCGCTCGCGCATTCTCCAAATTTGGAGGCAGAGTGCATTTTGACGGACGGTCGGCTTGCGCGCAACTTGTGCGCAACAAACAGCATGCTGGCACCCCCGCCGTCCCTGTCAAAATCAAATGCAGAGTGGTCGCGGGGCGCCCGCGCATGCTCGAGACCTGGAGGCCTAGTGCATCCTGTATTGTTTTTTTTCACAGGGATGGTGGGAAGGGGGGCATGTCCCGGGTTGGCCCGCAGTCGGGTGGGGGAGGGGGTGTTTATTGAAAAAGGGGGCAAGCAAGGGAAGGAGGGATGTTGTGCAGAGAGAAACGTAGAGTTAAGTCGGGCTCGTCCCTCTACAGGAGAAATATTAAATTATAGTTTAAACATTAGCCTGGGGATGACTTTTTGAACATGTTTTTGTTATTCGTGATATGTTTTGGGGGGGTATGATTTTTCGTCCTGAATCCCCCTGTAAGGGGACATGCCCGACCTACAAGTGAAGCTCGTTAAACTCCCCTACGCCCAGAGGGCTGCTGGGATTGCGACACGGCGTTGCGCGTGCAGCTCGGCCCTCTCATGAGATAGTGGAGCCCCCGTCGAAGCCCAGTCCAGTCCAGTCCTGCCCTCCCCTTCCCTCTACAATTAAGTCGGGCCCGTCCATCTACAGGGGGAGTATTCCAAAATAGTCAAACAATAATATGAGGGCGTTTTTGTTGGAGCATTTTTTGACTATTTTGGGGTATTGTTTGGATATGTTTAATTCTTCGTCCAAAAACGGCTTGTAGGGGACAGGCCCGATTTAATTCCACAATTGCACAAAAAACGGCTTGTAGGGGGACAGGCCCGATTTAACTCTACAAGTGCACAATATGAATACTGCTCTACTCTCTCGCCTGGTGGCGTCTGGGGAATGTCCGGTAGGTTTTTTTACACAGGATTCCCGGGAAGTGGATTTTCGTTTGGGTTTTATGTTCAAGATGTCGCTCTCGCTGAAGCGCTGGCCTAATTTTCGGGCTACCGCTCGTTCCGCATCGTGCTCCCGCTGCAGCGTTGGCCTCATTTCCGCGCTTCCGCTCGTTCCCAATCATGCTCCCGCTGCAGCGTTGGCGTCATTATTGTCAGCGCCATGCCACGTTATGGTTTGCGGTTCTTCCAACCCCCGAAGACACCATCGGAAGTGATTACACATTCGTTGTCGATTCGTTCATTGTTTGGGCCGCGGAAGCCCCCCCCCCACTTTGGGGCGTCGCCACGCCATGCTATGTCAGGCTATGTACGCGTCCTCATTTCCGCGTTTCCGCGTTGAGGTGCTGCCCTCGCTGAAACGCTGACCTCATTTTCGAGCCATCGATCGTTCCGAATCGTGTTTCCGTTGCAGCGCTGGCCTCATGTTCGCGCTTCCGCTCGTTCCGAATCATGTTCCCGCTGCAGCGATGGCGTCAGTATATCCAGCGGCATGCCACTGCATGGTTTTCGGTCCTTCCAAATAGGCCCAAAATTCTAGAACATGGACCTCCGAAGACACCACCGGAAGTGATTACACATTCGGTGTCGATTCGTTGATTGTTTGGGCCGCAGAAGCCCCCCCCCACTTTTGGGCGTCGCCACGCCATGCTGTATCATGCTACGCACTGATCGTCGACACCATGCCATGCCATTTAATGCTATGCCATGCCACGACACCCGATTGTGCGAATAGAGAGGAGATCTACGCCATGGTAAGGGATGGGAGGGAGGGGTAGGACGTCAGATATGACGCGAGCGCACCTAGCTTGCCCTGCCCCCTCCCTGTCCTCCCCACGCCTCCCCACGCCTCCCCAGTCTCAGTATCGTTTAACCGATCCCCATCCTCATCCCCATCCCCTTCGAGACCCCCACCAAATTACCACCCCAGTTGGGGATACACCCCTCGAAACCCGAAGGGAACGGCCTATATCCCCATCTAGGGGGGTGAATCGGGCAGTGGGGCCCAGGCCACGCCGCTGGGGATGGGGATCGGCTCAACGATACTCACAGTACCCCCCTCCCGGAGAGGGGTGGGCCGACCCCGTTCCCCTCTGCTCTGGAAGCACCCTTCGGAGCCCTCCCGGCGGACACAGGGAGTTCGACCGACGTCATCCAGCAGTGCCGCCGCGGCATCGTCTAAACGATGGGGAAGGAGGAGCGAGGAGCGAGGAGAGTCAAGAGTTAAGTCGGGCCTGTCCCTCTACAGGGGGAATGTTCAAAATTTCAGTAGAAAAACAGTCCAGGGACGATTTTTCTATCATGTTTTGGATATTTCTGGAATATGTTTTGACTATTCTGGGCTTTTCATCCAAAATCGCCCTGTAGGGGGATACGCCCGACTTGAAGCGAGGAGCGAGGAGCGACGAGAGTCAAGAGGGGGGCGAGTTGAGGCAGCGGTCGCAGGCCTTCGTGGGGGGTGCTTCCTTGCCGCCGCGGCCAGAGGCAGCTCTTGGACCCCCCCCGCGAGGGGGCGGGGGGACCGGTTCTGTGAGCTGCCGCCGCCTCGGCTCCGCCGTGCTCCGGGTGGCAAAGCAAGGGCTCCCACGAGGGCGCGAAGTTCTTCGCGCTTCGCGGTCCTCGTTCCTTCTCCCCCTCCTCCTCGTCCTCCTTTTCTCCCTTTGGGGGGGCGGCGCGAGAGCGCGAAGTTATTCGCGCTTCGCGCTTCGCGGCGCGCGAAGCGCGAAGTTGGGAGCCCTAGGCAAAGAGGGGGGTGGTGACTAGGGGGGGGTGGATATCATGGCGGGGGCCACGATGTTTCCCCGGATCTCGTGGCGCCTCTTCTAATTTCGTTACGTCCCTGGCCCGCCCGCTGGGCCGCGCACATGCCGCCGGTCATGATTTGCACCCCCCCCCTCTTGGACATCCCCCTCTTGGCCGCTCCCGATTTTTCTCCCCCAATCCCCGAGTTCCGCTTGAAAAGTTTGGCCTGTCAGAAAAAAGGGGGGAGACTCTGGGATGCACCCCGAGGGGGCTATTCGGACGCACCCCCATCGAGGACGAACCCCCCCCCTTTGTGTATCCCAGGGTTGGGCCCCAAATTCCTGGTTCATTCGAACCCCCCCCAAAGCCTGGGATAGGGGTCGACATATCCCCTCTTAGATCTGGAGTCGGGGCCGGCCGGGGGTTGATGACAAGAGGGTGGGTTGGATATCATGGCGTGGGCCATGATACGTCCCCAGATTTCATGGCGCCTCTTCTTATTTCATAACGTCCCTGGTCCCCCCTCGGGCCGCACATGCGCCGCCGGCCATTATTTGTACCCCCCCTCTTGGACGGCCCCCTCTTGGCCGCCCCCGATGGAGGAGGCGGAGGAGGTGGAGGTATTCAAAAACAGTAAAAAATAGTCGGGGGACCATTTCTGAGAATTTGTGGTTGATTTGTTTGACTTTATGTTGCGTTTTCCGCCTAAAATCCGTCTGTAGGGGGACATTCCCGACCTAGCCCTGCTCCGATGGAGGAGCTGGTCGAGGTGGAGGAGGTGGAGGATGAGCGGCAGGAGGAGAGGAGGGCAGAGGAGAAAGAAGGAACATGATGGCAAGAGGGAGGGGCAAGAAGGGGAGGAAGACGGTGGCGGCGAGGAGCAGGGGGAGGGTGGGGGGGGGGATAGAGGGAGGGAGGGGGCACGGCAAGCTTGGTGCGCTCGCGTCTGATTTGACGTCCTATCCCTCCCAATCCTTACCATTGCGTAGACATCCTCTCTATTCGCACAGTCGGATGTCGAGCAGGGCAATGATGGCGAGAGGGCACGCGATGCGTGGTAGAGCACGACATGTAATGGCGTAGAAAAGCACGGCAGAGCGTAACATGCCATAACATTATGTGGCATTGCGCAGTGAAGCATTGCATCACAAAGCATTGCAATGCAACGCATGGCATCGCACAGCGGCGCAGAACACAACACCGCATAGCATGTCATGGCATGGCGCCAGGTTCTTTGGAGGGTAAGTGGATCGTCTTCGAGAGGTCTGGGCCGGTCTGGAGTCGTGGCTTCATGCCTATGTCCTTTGGATCCCCGAAAAGCTCCGCACAAGGCGGGGCTGGTGGAGAGCACTCGCTGGCTCTGCTTCCAACATCGCCTTCTCAAAGCAGAAACGGTGCTCCCGCCTGATACTTCCTGAAAACGACGACGCCATCAAAGTGTGGTTGGGGCCTTCTGCGGACCAAAAAAATCGCATCGGCACCGAATGTGTTATCACTTCCGATGGTGTCTGCGGGGGGCGATTTTCTAGATTTTGGGGCCTATTTGGAAGGAAGCCCAGCGCTGCAGCGGGACCACTGTTCGGAACAAGCGGAAGCGCGGAAATGAGGCCAGCGCTGCAGCGGGATCACGATTCGGAACGAGCGGAAATCTGAACATGAGGCCAGCGTTTCAGCGGGAGCAGCATTTCGACGGAAAGACGCAAGCGAACATCCAGTTTCCCGGCACTCCTCTGTGTGAAAAAATACGCGGAAGGGGGGCCGTATAGTTTCCGGACGTCATCAGGGGAGAGGAGAGTACAATTCGTAATGTGTAATTGAAGAGGGAGGGGGACGGGGAGGAGGAGGAAGAAGAGCAGGAGGAAGAAAGGGGACAGGCGAACGACGACGATTCGGAGGAGGAGGACGACGACGACGAGGAGCAGGGGTGAGGGAGGAGGAAGGAGGGTGGATGAGGAGTGCAGAGGGGGAAGCAGGAAATTGGAGGCAGCAGGATAGGTATGAGGCAGGACTTATCGAGTAACAAGGTCGTATTTCCAAGCGTGGACCCTTAAACAGTAAGCTCCTGCACGCTGGGTGTCTGAGCTATGCTGTGCACACTGGCGCAAGCTATGCGGGCCTCCCGCAATGTGGTGCAGCAGATGTGTGGTGCAAGCTACGTAGTGTAAGAAATGTGGCAAAGGCTATAAGTGATGCAAAAAGGGTGGTGTAAGCTATGTGGTGTAAGCCATGTGGTGAGGGCTATGCGGTGCAAGCTATCCAGCTGCCTGTGGTAAGTCCGGCCATCATGTCAGTCTAGCAGTTTTGTTGGCAGATGCACCAACACGATAAGGATGATGACGAAGATGATGACGATGGCCGTGATGACGATGACACCTATGAGGAGGATGATTCTGAGAGTGAGGAGAAAAAGGATAAGAGGAGATGGAAGGGGATCCTTGTGACGGATGGTGAGGATTGTGATGATGAGGATGAACACGACGATGGCGGTGATGTTGTTGTTGCTAATGATGACGATGATGATGATGATGATGATGATGATGCTGATGCTGATGCTGATGCTGATGCTGATGCTGATGCTGATGCTGATGCTGATGCTGACGACGACGACGGTGACGACGATGATGATGATGCTTATGATGATGCTGATGTGTCTGATGATGCTGATGATGACGATGATGGTGATTGTGGTGGTGATGGTGATGGTCATGATGATGCTGATGATGATAATGCTGATGATGATGATGGTGATGATGGTGATGATGACGCTGATGATGATGATGATGCTGATGATGATGATGATGATGATGATGATGATGATGATGATGATGAACAGGAGGAGGAGGAGGAGTCGGGCTGGGGCCATTGAGATGCCCTCTAACGCCGCCCCGAATCTCTGCGGATGCCCTCTTGGGATCAGCTCGAGGCTCTCTCGATGCTGTCCTCGGCCGTCCACGGTCCTTCGGGAGACATCTCGATGTCGTCTCGAAGGTCTCGTGAGTCGTTTCCGGGCCCTCTTGGGCCGTCGTTGGATGCCTTGTATGCTCGGGAACGGCAAAGAGGGGGGTGATGACTAGCAGGGTGGGGATATCATGGAGGAGGCCATGATGTTTCCTCAGATCTCATGGCGCCCCTTCTTGTTTCATTACGTCCCTGGCCCCCCCGCTGGGCCGCGCACATGCCCCCGGTCATGATTTGAACCCACCCCTCTTGGACACCCCCCTCTTGGCCGCTCCCGATTGTATGCAGTGTTGAGCCGATGGAGGCGAACAGGCGAGAGTGCGAACGCATCTCAAACACTTGAATGAACGAGCATGCGTGATTCTGGTCTCTTCGGGCCCTCCTGGAGACTCTCTTGGATCCGTCTTGGGGCGTCTTGCAGACCTCTTGGGCCGTCTGGAGTCTATCTTGGGCCGTCCTGGGGCCATCCTTGAGCGTCATGGGGGCAGCATTGACCATGGTGGCAGCATTGGTGGCCTGCATGGTACGGCAGGTTCGTGTCGTGTCGACCCTGGCGTTGGTTCCTGACACCGCGGGGATCGTTCAACCTTGAACGATGGGACGCTTCCGAAACGTCCAAGTCGTTCCACATCGAACGATTCTGGGTCGCCAGCGGCGTTCAACGTTGAACGCCGCTGGCGGGGTCGCCGCCGGTCGGCACGACGCGAACCTGCCGTATGTGTTGGAAACCATCTTGGGCATTTTGCGCACCTCTCGGAGGAAAAGCGCCAGGGGGGCGCCGGGCCGCCCAGGGGCAGCCTCGCGAGGGGGGGGTGGGGCGACGCATGCGGGAGTCCGCTCCAGTCGATAGGTTGTGGGGGGGCTGAGTGGCGACCCGTCCTCCTCCTCTCCCTCCACCTCCTCCGCCTCCTCCTCTCTTCAGCTGCCATCTGGGCCCAAAAGATTGTCAGGGCAGCGGCACGCTTATACACCGTCACTCCACGGAAAGGTGGAGGCAGGATTGAGTGGGCGGAAGCCCGCATGATAGCTCCGCGATGGATGACCATTCTCGCGCTGCTGCTCCACAGTCCGCTGACGGCCAGAGAGGACCGCCTCCAGGATATCTTCGCAGAAGCGAGCTACTTTGACGTCGTGATCCTAACAGGCACCCAACGACCCAGACGAGGGACGCAACCACAACAACGACGACTACAACACACGGTACATCGATGCAGGATGGCAGAGTGGCTTACCCACCAACCGCAACACGGGCATCATGGTGGAACTTCAAGAACGACTACGAGGAGCGGGCATACTCGCTGTGCGTGCCCCACCACCAAAACTCTGCGGCCGAGGTGTCGCATTCGACATTGCACATTGCACCCTTCGACTGACGATCATCGGCTACTACTTCCCGCCCCAGCAGCGTACGAAGGAGTAGAAAAAACAATGCTACGCGACAGCGGCCCGACTTCACACGTGTCGGGATACCGTTGCGTAACAGCGCCCACCAGGC